GATTCTTATTTCAGTATCATCTTAAGTGTTGTCTTAAGACGCTAATACGGCTCTGTGATTGGTTGAAAACACATTAAGAGTATACTTAAGATGATCTTAAATATAAGAACGGACTATGAATACCGGCCTAAGATTACTTAGATCATCTAACACACCAGATAAAGCATATGTTTAAGTTCAAGCGCAAGAGGGTTAAGCGTTTAGGACCCAGTCGAACTCTAGATTCGAAAGAGTGACGACGTATTAAAAAAAGAAAAGAAAAAGGGTGACTGTCTATTTGAAAGTTAAAGTGACAAGTTCTATAATTCAGCAGGTAAAATTTAAGGTAAAATTTTATAATATTAAAATACACACACACATATATATTTTTATTTTACTTTTAGAAAAAACCAACAAAAAACAATGAAACCATCCCAAGACATACTTAGTAATGACGGGGTAGATACCTGCCAACACGAATTTTACGAAATTTTAAATAGAAGCCATTATTTCCGGGCAATCGAACCCGGAAACCATTATTATGAAGAACAATATCCATTCAGGCGCATCTGCGCAAGCTGCGCCATAAATCATCCGGAGGACGATTTAGAATATTACACCTTATTAGAAAACTGGCACACCTTATGTGGGCCACTTTTTGAAATAACCATGCAACAAAAAAAATGTCATATCTGCGAAAAACACATAGTAACAGCACGACCAGCGATGAATTGTAAATTTTGTTTACAAAATTATTTATATTTTAATGGACTATAACACAAGCGCAGGAGTTGACTTTGAAAGAAAAGTAGTTATTAGAAATTTAGATACAGTAGGAGAATATATATAATCAATCACTATTTTATAAGAAATATACATATATATATACAAAAATAATGATTACTAAAAATATGTATACAAAAAAATATATATGTCATACAAAATGTGCGCGCGCGCGTGGACTTTTTTTGTAAAAACTAACCGTTACAACAATGTTAAAACCAAAAAATTACCGTACAAATATATTTTTATAACTTATGAATAAGTACTAATTATTTACCCTACCTACCGTAAAAAGATATACATTCTGTGCACGTTCTATTAATTCTTGGTTCTATAGTGATGCTACGGATATTCTACGCATGTACTGCAAAATATTCTCAGTATATACCCTAGTGAAAAAATTTCTATAAATAACTACACAAAATTGACTTAAAATAGAAATTTGTAGAAATTTTTATATCTTCGTTGAAACATTTATTTCTTTGTAAAAATATCTATAAAATAGTATCACAAATTACAATGTTCTCAAATCAAGAAATTATTGCAAGTAGTATTTCATGAAAATGTACAATTTTGTAAAAATTAGTACAAAACTTTACTAGTTTAAAAAATTTGAGAAACAACGAAATCTTAAAGAATTAAAATATCTGCTTACTTGTAGAATATTAACAAAAATTAACAAGTGTTCCAATTCTAGCATTTTTATGATGATTTTTATAACACTTTTTAAATTTACGTAGAATTTCTTAGATTCTGGCAGTTATATTTAATTTTTTTTAGAATTTTGTAGAATTATTTCCGGCAAGGTACTACGAACTGAAAAACCCCGGACATAGGAATCTTCTCAGTATGTTCTAAATAAATCGTAGTACGTACCTCGTATGTTGTGAGAATATACGCATTCTACTGTTGCGATATTCTTCGAACATTCTCAGCATCTATATGTGCTGTATGGGATATAGGTCGGTATTCATAGTCGGATCTTACTTTAAGACCGTCTAAAGCCAACGGTACACGAGACTATTTTTCCTACTAGATTGCTTACGAGAGCCAATCAGGATTTAACTTTAAACCACCTGATCTAAAACTCTGCATCCTTATTGGTTCTCGTAAGTGATCCAGTAGAAAAAATCGTATCGTGTGCCATTGGCTTTAAATTATGTCTTAAGGATGCTAATACGGCTCTGTGATTGGTAGATGACAAAATAAGATAGTACTTAAGGCCTTTGCACGTAAAAAAGCGTTAACCGTAACCGTAATTTTAGATGGAGCAACCCAACTAAAATTCTGTAACCTACGGAATTTTACTTAGGTTGCTTCGTCTATACGTGTTGAAAACTACAATTACGGACTAAAATTACGGTTACGGTTAACGCTTTTTTACGTGCAAAAGCCTTTAAGATGATTTTGAATATAAGAATCGACTATGAATACCGGCCATAGGAATCGCGCGGGCGTTGAATGGATGCCTAACGGGCATCAGATGGATGTCCAATGGATGTCCAATAGGCGTCGAATGAGCGGCATGTAAGTGCTGACGAAATCTGAAATATGCCCAAAGACCATCCATTTCGTGTCTCTGTGTCTCCAAAATGGGCGTCCAATGGGTGTTAAATGGGCGGTCATTGGTGCATCCGTTGCGTGCCCTTGAGGCGTCCATCTGATTCGGGACAGGAAATGGGCGCCCAACCGGAGAGCTCGGGGCGTCCCTCGGACGCCCAATGGACGTCCGTGTCGTGTGGCCAACTAATTTTAAGTAAAATTTATTAAAAATTAGAGACAGTTTGAAAAAGTAATTCAGAATGCAATAAATTTATCAACCAAAGAATGAATAAAGATAAACTGGAATAATAACAATAAAATAGATTAAAGTATATTAAATTATTAGGAAAAAAGAAAATGATTGTAAATAAGTGAGATTTTCGGATTTTAATTAGAACGAATGTAATAGAAAAATTAGAGGATAAGTCAATGCTGAAATGGCGCAATGTAGTATAATGTTCTAGTACATGCTAAAAGCTGAATGACGACATACTACTTATATTTGTAATTACCATCTACTTACCATAAAAGTAGAGGCGTACAATATCACTCGAACTATCATGATAATCTCGATTCACTAAATATAATAGAAGACGAAAGAAACGAGAATGGATAGCGGAGAATAATTTTCTTAAGAGATTTACGAAGCAAAAAAATGACCAACATTTCTACTTAATATTTTTTACAGCAAAAATTAATAACAAATTCTTATTATATAAAGTATACACCTTTTAATTTTATAATTTTTGTAATATTATAATGGACATAGATTCGAAAATGTATGAAGTATGTAAATGTTCACAGAGTTTTTCGTAGGTATTATTTATATTTTATTTGTAAATAAGCTATTTTCAAAAATTTGATTTAAGAAAAAATTTTTAATGATGTTATTGAAAGTAAACAATCAACTGTAAAACAATTTTTTTAAGTACATTTTTTAAATAAATAAAATTTATTCCCCATCTTTTTAAATATATATTTAGTTTTTGCAAAATTACTAGGGGAAATCGATGCCAATAAAACTTATTTTGATTAAATAAGCAATCTTATAAAGTTTTATATATTCAGTAAAATGCTTGACATTTTATATGCATTGACCTAATACTTTAGTTTTTATAAAAACAAATAATATTTTGTATACATTTTATAGTTATGAAATTAATGATTTTCTTAATTAAATACATCAATGTCATCTTTACCAAATACATAGCATTAAATGTTTTTTCATATTTAATATTAAAACTGTTGTTCTTAAAACACCACCAAAGAGAAAAAAAGCACAATATTAAGTTACAAGAATTATGTAGAATTATTTTAGTAATTATTGAGTCTATATTTTATCTTTTATTAAGACGAAATTTTGCGAGCTTTAACTTTACAATATTCCGAGACCATTTTCTACAACAGCATGTGGTTGTCCCATTTGCTCTCGGAATTCCGATGTATTAAAGATATCTTCAAATCTATAAACAATAATATATAGACAAATAAAAAATTGCTGAATACACATTGATCTATCAATGCAATAATGATCATTATAAATACCCTATATCTTGATCTTTTCCAAGTAAAGCATCTTGCATCGCATTAGATGACGGCAAAAATGGAAGTCTTCCAATCTTTTCAGCAGCTTTCAATTCCATCGCTATGCGCAATGGTGCATGTAATCCTTGCGTATTCCTAAGCAATGTCATATTCATGCAATCTTGATTCTTTTGATACTAAAACATAATTACAATTACAATTTTCTGTTTCAAAATTGCACATGTTAGCAGGAGACACGATAAACCTTACATTTCTCTCTGAAGCTTCCAAAGGATGTGCGTAACCAACGCTCTGTCTGGTTGCTGAGAGACTAAACAAACAAGATTAACCCTAAAAACTATCTTAAAAAATATAAAACTATCTCATATCAAACATTTGTATAATGTTGAGAGCACATTTTAGGTCAAATTGATCAATTACTTTTTGACATAAATTAATTTATATAAATTTGGTTTTCCTAAGAAATTTAATTAAATCTCCATACCCTGACACCATAGGATTGGGCAAGCCATAATTGGTTCCGTTATGAATATTGAATTGCTCGGATACGGCAGGCTTGGGTATGAGTGACGGCAAACCAAAGCTCTGAAATCATAACAATTATTGCAATGAAAATGAAACTCTATGTAGAAATAATTGTTTTTCGTATAAACAGTAAGGGATAAGAATTATTTTTACAAAATGAAATATAAATACGGTTCAGTACTTTTTATTTTCTATTGCGTGCTATTGATGTAACAATCTACACGATACAAAAAAATTCATAGAATAAACAACTAAAATTAACTGTCATGTTAACATAACCTGTCCGCAATAAATGCAATAAATCGTATGAAATGGTCTTAAAACTAATAGTTGTGTGCAACATGCTATCCGAAATAATAACATCAAATATATTACCATTTTATCGTCTTAAAGTTACAACAGAAATAACAGCAAGGAAACGCCAAAACGATTCAGAAACGATGATGCGCCAGGACTCCGCAAAAACCGTAGGAATCAGGTTAAGAAATTCGTCGCGTCACAGCGTTCGTAAACTCACGAGATCTCGCGCGATTGTTAGGCCGGATTCAGACTGAACGCGATGAGCGATGAGCGACGAGCGATTATCCAATGGGCGAACAGGGGCTCGATTCTTGAATTTGTTCGAAGGAGAAACGTATGCGAAATTTCTGCTCTTACAGAAAAGTTGCAAGTTGATTGGCTGTTCGCGTGACTTCAACCAATCGACTTTCAACTTTTCTGTCAGAGCAGAATGTTCGTATACGTTTCTTCTTCGAATGATTTCGAGAATCGGGCCCCTGGTTACATGGGACAGCGTATAGTTTTCCTATAAAGACTGTACGCCCATTGGATATCGCTCGTCGCTCATCGCTCATCGCGTTCAGTCTGAATCCAGCCTTAGGGTGCGGCCACATGGATTGATATTTTCCGCGTAACGCATATCGCGTAACCAATGAATTGCGACGATTGACATTTCCGTTGGAACATTCCAAAAGAATGAACGATATGATTCGTTACGCGATACGCGTTACGCGGAAAAATCAATCCATGTGGCCTTAGCCTTAAGGTGCCTTTTCACGCGTCGCTCGTCGCTGGATTTCTCGGTACATGATTGGCCGTCATTACTTTTGTTGCTGGTAACTCTGTTGATCTATGAAAAGAGTTCAAGCGATATTTTGTAACCTCAAAGTTGTGAAATATTTATATCTTGAAAGGTGTTTAGTGAAAGGTGAATTTCAAAATTTAGTTTAATCTGTTATTGATAATTATTATATTCGATTTTTGGAAAATTTTGAATTTTGTAAAAGTATTTAGGTTTTGAGAAGTAAAAATTAAGAAGTTATTAATAACATACGGTGACTCTTTTTCACATAAGAAATTTGTATATCCAGCCATACAAGAATGAGAAGCAATTTTATTAAAATTGCATTCGCTTTTGCATAAGCCGCACAATACAACTTTTGGCACTAGTGTAGTCTAAAAAGCATTAAAAATTACATTTTCATTAAAAACAATTTAATCAATAAAATGATTATTTTTTGTATTTTCTGCATTTCAGTTGATAATTGACAAGTAACAAAAAGTGAGGTTAAACACAGAAGAGATTATCCAAACTCAACCGACAAACATTTGAATTTTCTCGACACCACCATTATTCCCTTATGAAAAAATACACTCAATCATACGTTGACGGTCCGAAATAACCATCAAATTGAGTGTAAACCTTCATAATCGAGTGTTTCATGAAGGTTTACACTCAATTTGATGGTTATTTCGGACCGTCAACGTGTGATTGAGTGTATTTTTTCATAAGGGTTGTTAGAGACGACACGATTGAATTCGATTGGTATCACAAACCGACGTTTTCTGGCAGATACCTCAATTTCGCGTCGTCTCATTCATTGTGTCACAAAAAGGGCACCATCAAATGCTTAACCGACCGAGCAATACTTTTAGCCCATCCAAGATTTCAACAAAAAAATCTCAAATTCGTAATTGATATTTTACTTGAGAACGGCTACCCCCTCCCCCTTATTTTTCAAACAGTAAGGGAGAGAATAAACAGTCTAATCAGAAATCAAAAATCAAATTCCACAGCAGCCACCATTACGAATACAACTAATAACGATAAGGGCAGATTTTTCAACATTCCGTATATCCCAAATATATCTGAAAAGTTCACACAGGTGGTCAAAGATCTCAATACAACTCTATCATACACAGGTTTACAGAAACTCAGAAACTTAATTTATCAAAGTTCATAAAGACCCACTTCCAACGCTCGCACGCAATAATGTAGTTTACAAAATCTCATGTAATGATTGCAACGCATCATACGTGGGCCAGACCGGTAGAGTACTAGCCACTAGAATAAATGAACACCGCAAACATATTAATAGAAACACGAAGCAAATATCAGTCATAACGGAACATAGACAATCTGGCCATGAATTTGACTGGGATAATATTGAAATCTTGGATGAAGAACCTTTTCTTTACAGGCGTCTCATCTCAGAAATGATTTATATTAAACGCCAAACTAACGGCCTCAATTTACAAAATGACACGGATCTCCTGGGTGATTTATACAACCTAATCATCCAGGACCTAAATAGAGTTTGACTATTCATTCATTTATTTATTTATTTATTTATTTATTTATTTATTTTTCTTTATTTTAAGTTTACCATTTTAATTTCCATGGATTATATTTCCATTTTAATTTTTTGACCAACTCTTTACAAGTTCAACACTTCAACTTTTAATATTCTGACACATGTTAGTTAGTTTTAATTATCGATGAATGTCCACCATATTCAATTTTGAATTTTTAATCAAGCTCTGTTTGAGTTGTAACTCTGGATATTCAAACGTTATTTATTGAGTTTTAAAATTTTTAATGACTAATCTTTTACATCTATTAAGTCTTAATTTTATTTTAATTTTATTTTAATTTTACAATTTTAATCTCTCATTTACATTTTATTTTGTTGACCAAATTTATTAACTTATTACAATTTTATAATTTTAACACAATTGCTAATTTATTATGACGTTTGACATGTTTAGACAAAAAATTTTAAATTTTGCGCCGTTTGTTTTTCGGTAAACGACGACACATGACCAATGTCTTGTTTACCACACTTATTTAAGTCGCACTCCGATATTGCTGTGTCACAGTCGTGTTAAATCCATTACAACGAATACATCTCAGTCGACGTGTCTCCAGTTCTCTTTATGTCAGGGAACATTTAGAGAAAAAGCATGAGACCATGATAGAAAAAAAAAGAGATTCTCAAACTACATATTTTAACGAGGTAACATTATCATCCACCAAATCTAACGAAGCTACCAATCTATTATAATACATTGTACTCACATCCTGTATTTGCTATCTTATTATAGTTATACTGAGGAAGACCCGAAACAGGGTCGAAACGTTTATATTAAAGAGAGAAAATATATATAAATTTGTGAGAACCGTCATCTGTTCATTTGTTGGCTCGCATTGGCACTTTCCCCCGTTCCATATAAATTATTTTAACTTCGTCTTTTCGTCGCTAGCGACGACCATGGTGGAAATAACAAGGTGAAGCATTGCGCATAATGGCGGCAGCTTTGACGGTTAAACCAATCAGAAGACGACCCATTTTGTAGGCGCCCACTTTATATTATTAAACATATTATTAAACACATGAAGTAATATGATATCTCAACATTAATTATATTTACTACTTATTGCATATGTAGCTTTGTTCACTTCTTTTTCATGCAATATTTAAAGAAAGGACGTAAACATCAAATGACGTGATGGATGACAGGCGCTGATGGAATCAGCCATATCACTTTCCTTGCAAAATGGGTCGCGCGATGATTGGCTTACAAAATTGAACGAGTGCGCAGCATCGGGAATGCTTCACCTTGTTATTTCCACCATGGCGACGACGATAGTACCACGTGACACGTCCATGATCGCTAGTGACTAGCGACGTATCGCACCTTTAGGGTGCCATTACATGGAGCGCGGAAACGCGGAAACCCGGAAGAGAATAATAACTAGATTCCCGCGTTCCGTTCCGTCTGTTTTGATTGCCTTATATTACATGGAGCAGATTTTGAGCGGAAAAGCGGAACAGAAAATTATAAAATATTAATTTTGAACGATATGTATTGATTAAAATTCTTATTTTCAATAGATAAGCTAAAAAGATAAGCATATTAATCAAAATTACAATTAATTAAGTGAAAACAATGTTAAAAAATAAATAAAAACATCCATTTGTCACTATACCGTTCCGCTTTTGCAAATAGTGCTCCATGTAATATAAGGGGCAATCAAAACAGACGGAACGGAACGCGTTAAATCATTGTCAATGTAGACACAACATCAAATTTCGGAGTCGGAGTCGATTGAAGAAGAAAGTTTTTATATATTTAAATTGTTTTATTATTTTAAAAGTGACAATATAATATCAAGTACAATATCATGGATCCAAACATCATGTTGATGATTATTAATGAAGTATCTTATACAATTTCTTGCCATAAACTTTCTTTTTTTAATCTTGTCCTTTTGGTTATTGGAATTGAATGATCCCATAAAGCTCTTCGAGTTCGCACCAGTTCAATTAGTAACTCGTTTTGTGTCAGTACCGATTGTGTAGCAGATTGTGAAGCTCCTTCATGTTGCACAACACTTTCAGTTTGATGTCTCTTTACTTTAACATAAATAAATAAATAAACAACTTAAATGATCGCGAAATGACTCAATTGACTGTTCCCAGATAGCAAAATGTCTGCATTATGTCAGCATAACGCATTTACGTGTGCTCATAGACGTGTCGGCATGATATTTGCAACAATTGAGTCGGCATATGAGGTGCACGTGAACAGCATGGTTTGCCTGACACATTGTGACACAACTTGCCGTCACAAGATCGACAAGCCTTGCCGGATGTATGTATGATATAGTAATGATTATATGAACATATAGAAATAGTGCACTCGTTTTATTATGTATTATTAAATCTAAATAAATTAAGAGTATCCTTTATGTGTGTTGATAAACATGGTTTATTGCGCATACATCTTTAATTTAGTAAAATAAATATATCGTACTTTGATGTAATTCAATATATATATTACGATATATGAAATATCGTATTGATACATAAAATATCTCGTAATGGAATTGCAAAAACAGAACATAAAATACAGATCGTAATAGAATTGCAAAAATAGAACATAAAATACAAATCGTAATAGAATTGCAAAAACAGAACATAAAATACAGATCGTAATAGAATTGCAAGAACAAAACCTAAAATTGTAATACTAACATATATATAACAATTGTAATCTT